AAACAAAACTTCAGAGACATGTTGAAAAAAGATCAAAGGCCTACCATTTGCATTATTGGAGAACCAGAAAGAGGAAAAAACAACTTGTACAGAAAAAAGACTCAAAAAATAATGGCTGCAGCTATCTAGAATATACAAAGAACTGAAAAAAATCAGATCCCCTAAATTTGAAAATCCAACTCAAAAATGGGCAACTGAAATGAACAGACATTTCTCAGACAAAGAATTAAAAGCAGCAAAGAAATATATGAAAAAATGTTCAACATCGCTGGTCATTGAAGATATGCAGATGAAAACAACACTGAGATTCCACCTCACCCCAGAAAGAATGGCTGCTATCAAGAAATCAACCAATAACAAATGCTGAGAGGGGTGTGGAGAGAAAGGAACCCTTCTCCATTGCTGGTGGGAGTGCAGACTGGTGCAACCACTATGGAAATCAATATGGAGATACCTCAAAGAACTAGGGCTAGAGGTCCCATTTGACCCAACTATTCCCCTGCTGGGTATCTTCCCCAAAGAATTAAAAGAATCATACCACAGCGATATTTGTGCACCCATATTTATAGCAGCACAGTTTGTAATAGTTAAAGTTTGGAAACAGCCCAAGTGCCCGTCAACTGGAAACTGGATAAAGAAAATATGTTTTTTTCCTGCTGGAAGATAGGTAGAACTCTTGAAGATATTGGCATAGGACAAGACTTTATGAACAAAACCTCAGTAGCACGGGAACTAGCAGAAAGAATCAACAACTGGGATTTCATCTTATTAAAAAGCTTCTGCACTGCAAAAGAAACCACCAACAGAGCTAACAGACAGCCTACAACGTGGGAAAAAATTTTTAGCAGCTGCAACTCAGACAAAGGGCTACTATCTAGAATATACAAAGAACTGAAAAACATAAGACCCCCCAAATTCAAAGACCCAATTCAAAAATGGGCATCTGAAATGAACAGACATTTCTCAGACAAGAAGTAAAAGCAGCAAATAAACATATGAAAAAATGTTCAACATCACTGGTCATTCGAGAGATGCAGATGAAAACAACACTGAGATTCCACCTCACCCCAGAAAGAATGGCTGCTATCAAGAAATCAACCAATAACAAATGCTGAGAGGGGTGTGGAGAGAAAGGAACCCTTCTCCATTGCTGGTGGGAGTGCAGACTGGTGCAACCACTATGGAAATCAATATGGAGATACCTCAAAGAACTAGGGCTGGAGGTCCCATTTGACCCAACTATTCCCCTGCTGGGCATCTTCCCAAAAGAATTAAAAGAATCATACCACAAAGATATATGTGCACCCATGTTTATAGCGGCACAGTTTGTAATAGCTAAAGCTTGGAAATAGCCCAAGTGCCCATCAACTGGAAACTGGATAAAGAAGATGTGGGGTTTTTTTTTTTTTATAAAATGGAGTACTACTCAGCCATAAAGAATGAGGAACTAGAAACATTTATAGCTAAATCGATGCATATTGAAGCCATACTCATAAGTGAAATAAATAGGACACACATGGGTAAATACTGAATAGTTTCTCTAGTGTGAGAAACTGAAAAAGTAAATAAGAATTAAAATGATTGAAAGAAATAATTGATAATTTGAAATAGGAAGAAAATGTCCAAAGGGGTAGGGGTGGTGGGAGGGGAAGGGGAAAGCAAAGGAGGGAAAGGAAAAATTATGAGAAAAGAAAAAAAAAGGAAATAAAGTCTATGTAAATAGGGAAGGGTGGAGGGGGTGAAGGGCACACAGATAATGGGGAAAAAATAAGAACTAAGATACATCATGTTCAGGTACAAGCACTCAACGATAAATGTAAATGTATTGTTTACCTAAAATGTACCAGTGAAAGAATTTAAGAAATAAAAATGGCTGCAAACTCCCCAAATCTGGTGGGAAACACAAGCTTATCATTTTAAGAAGCTAAGAAAAGTCAAAATTGGATAAATTTAAAACCATGCCCAGTCACGTCATAACTAAACTACTGAGAACTAACAATAAAGAAGAAATCTTAAAAGCAGTTAAAGGAAAACAGCACATTACATATAAAACAATGATTCCAATGGCCACATGGTTACCATCAGAAATCAGGGTAGCAATGGTTATGTAACTAAATAGGAAATGATACCTAAATTATCTCACAATTGGTATCATTATTTTAATTGTAGTTCCTTTACTACATCTTAACACATTATATTTTCCATTCTGTCCCTTCAAACTTCCCAATTCTCCTCTTTGTATATTTGAACTCAATAATTGGATGCAAATACAACTATGATATTATGTATTTATTCTGATTTATACAAAATATTTTCCTCTTGTTGAAATGAGTCTTTGGTAATTCATGTCTTTTGAACAAGTACTTTTTTTAATCTGTAAGTTTCCCAAAATATTACATAGGTATAATAACGGATCATTTACTGTCTTACAGGGATATTATAAAGATCAAATGAGATATAAAGAAAAACGCATAGATTCTTAGGCCCAACTAAGACATTGGAAGTCAGAAACAGTACTAGCCTAGAAGATGTGAAAGCCTGATTCTTTTATCCAGTCTACTGAGAAAGTACTTTAAAGGTATTCACTTGCCCATGACTCTTCTATAGGCTAATAAAGTTGGGGGTGTGCTCTGTCCACTGATCTGAGGTTAGGACAAGTAGTCACCATAAGAAACTCACAGACTTTAATAAGGTGTTTCTGGCTATTATTTTAGCTCATTTGACCTATATTAAATGACATTTCCAGAAAGTAGAGATTTTAACCTCTGTCATCTCTTGGACATTGGGAACTAACAGTATTCTAGTTAAGGGACAAAAAGGCCATATTCAAGTAGATACAATGGATGACTAAATTCAGCAAGTATAACAAACCTAAATGGATCAGAAAGTCTGGTATTCTGATAGTGTTTAGAAATCCATAACCCCCATCTGCCCTCCCTATCTTCCCAGAGGCTGTGAGCAGTAGCACGGAAATCATCTACAAGGGACACATGAACTTGGTCTCCTGGCTGAACTCTTGTATAAGGAGCAAGTAAAGTCTGGATAAAGCAACACGAGGATGTCTCAGGTTGTAGCAGAATGTGAAGAACATGTGAGATACGATTTTGGTTTTGATCTGATAAATGTGCACATTCCCCTGCAAGGATGGCCAGCACCTGTTGGCCCCAGAATTGTCAGTAATCAAAGTAGAAGATGACTAAGCAACCACAGGAATTACAACTGATTTAATGAGCCATTCACAGCTCCGTGTATCAACCTTATGTACTTAGACATGCATGGCCTAATCTTTGAGACAAGCATATGTTCCTGTCAGGATCAATTAGGTTTTCCCTATGTTTAGTTCTCCATCTCTGAATAAATGACATCCCTACATAAAGAACAGCTTCATATAAAGACTGAGCAAGATTAAGAGTCCTGAAGAGGGCTGGAGACACTTCCTCAGAGCTTCTCAAAATTCTTAGCCCATGTTAAAGGAAGGCCATACAGGTTTCTTGGATCTTAAGATTCTCTGTTTAACAGAAGTCCGTAAGGAAAACTGAAAGAATATGGAGCCTGAGTCTAGTTCGGGTTTTACTTGGTATTCTTAGGAAGGTGATAGCATCTTGGTTTCTTCTTCTGTTAAAATGGGATAAGAGACCCTAGTTTTTAAAATAGGATTTTTGTGCATCTCAATAATATGAATGCATTTAGAGAAGAACAGAATTTGAAAACTATATGGTACAGAGTATTCTTTATTATAGATGGGAAACAAAGGCATGGAAAAAAATGGAAACTAGTTTAGATTTGTTCTGAGCTAGAAAACTACACCATCCTGTTAATTCTATTCTCATTTCTATAAGAAATTTTTTTTTTTTTTTTGGTACCAGGGATTGAACTCGGGTCCTTGCGCTTGCACAGCAGGTGGGAAAACCACTGAGCTAATTCCCCGGCCCTATAAGAAGACTGACATAGAATAAAATCTTCCTGGCCTCCCTGTGTTTACTGCTATAGTTTGGATGTGGTTTGAGTGTGTTCTCCAAAGTTTCACATGCTGGAAGCCTGGTGGTCAGGTGGCAATGTTTCGAGGGGGTGGCACCGTTAAGGAGTCTAGTGGGAGGAAATTAGGTCATGGGAGGCACCACCATTGGAAGATATTATGGTAGTTCTTTAGGACCAAGATTAGCTCTTGCATAAGTAAGCTGTTATAAACAGAGTGAGCCTGGCCCCTGAATCTCTCTGGCCTCTTTTCTCATCATGTGATCTCTCCCTGTCACACACACTCTCTCCATGATGTCATCTGCCAGTAATCCCACATATGTCCCCCACAACGGTTCCCTCCTGTGGACCATATCACTTTTTGTTCAGTGTCATTAATGTAGGAAAATGGTTCTCTCCTCTTCCAATCTTCCCTCCTGACTATGATGTGTCTCTGTTATTGCTAGTCTTCATCTGCAAAGAGATATGGTAAAATCTCAAAGAGTATTTTTCCCCTAAGGTAGGTCTATCTACTCCTTTTACATCAGCAACATTTTTCCTCACTTGATTTAAATTTTCTTTTATTTTGTACTATCATAAACCTTCCATTTCTATTCCCTTTCTTGGTAATTACATAGAATAGTATTTCAAACTCTTACCTCTGTCATGGTGTACTTGCTATATCACTAAAAACTTAATCTATAAACAAAATAATTCAAATTAAAGAAAATACAGTCCCCTAAGAATTTGGTTTGCTAATATTTTACTCCAAGTTAGAAGCTGAGTCACCAATGAAGCATAAGATTTATCTTAATGTGATTTAGTTATTTACAGATTTTTACCAACATTAGGAAATTCTATCAAAAGTCATCGCAGAGTAATCAGGCAGATGGGCCCAGGTGCAAAATTCAAAAGTTTTGTTAAAAGAAAGCTGTAAGATTAAAATGATCAAGTAAGGTTAGGGCACTGGGGCATAAATCTCAGGGCTACTGAGCAAGAGATAGACTTTCTAATGACAGAAATGAAGAGTATCAGAGTATCCTTACCTGTCTTCTGTTAGTTTCATTAAGGTTGTTCCTCTAGTAGAGAAGACAATAAAGGACATTCTTAGTTGTGGGCTGGAAAGGAAAAGAAACTCTATTAGGGTAGACAGAAAGAGTGAACCATGTCATTCCTTTCTGGGCTGCTTAGCTGTTCTTGTGTTTGGAGCATGATTACCAGGACTGAGTACCTACAACCCAAAGAGGCCCAGGCTAGTGTTGCAAGCAGCCAGGAGCAGACTCTAAGGTTGTGGCCCAAGGAGAAGACCTGCTGTGTCTTTTTGGAGGCTGCTTCTGACTGGACACTGTTGATCAGTGAATGTGAACTATAAATAAGAAAGATAAAACCCATCATGCCCTGGGCTCCGTCTGTAGTGTGCCCTGAGAAAGGGATTGGTCTCCAAGTTGTCTATAAAATGGGGAATCCTGATAAACCAAGGAAGAGAGTGTCTCAACTGTGGCAGCTTGATGCTGTCAGCCATTAACATCATACAATGAACTCTCTTTGATCTCAAAGTTGGAATCACCATCCATTTTTAATTTCTCCTTGGCTTCTCAAGGATGTTATCCCATGAGGAAAGAATAGTTGACTGGCCACAGACTATCTATTACACTTGGTAGTTATATGTTTCATTTTTAATGAACAAATTGGCACTGTTTTTATATAGAGTGCTCAGGAGCACTGATAATGTAAAATTCACACTCTGAGAGAAGAACAATTCTCAGCGGAGGACCCAACATGTGTCTCACTCTGCAAGATGGACAGCCAGCCTGCAGTGGGTTTGGCAAGGGAACACTGTCCTGTGGGGCTCTTTCTGCATGTACAACAGATTCATCCACATTAACTGTGGCTTCACAAGGCAGTAGCCTCCCACACCTGACCAGGCTCAAGACCTTATAGCTCCCATTTCCCAAGATTTTTCTCAAATGTGAGCCAATTTTCCACCTTTTAGCTTGGGACCTTGGCCTTAGTCATCTGACTGTTTAGCTGGAAACAAGTGCTTAGCATCATTCTTGCTCCAATTCATTCTTCACACTGCTTCTTGAATTATTTTCCTAAAATATAAAGTAGATCCTATAGCTTATCTGCTATAAAACATCTAGTGGGTCCTACTACCTCCAGAATAAAGTCTACTTCTTTGGAAACCATAGCATGGTGTTTAGTACTTGGTAGGGGCCCAAACGATACCTGGTGAATTGAATATTATTCCTCTGAAACACTTTAGTTCTCTGTCCTTGACACTGTGCTGCCTATTACTACCTCAACCATGCTGGGGCACTGTTAAATAATAGTGACAATCATAGTGATTGTAGTGACATAATAATGGCCAACCTTATTAAGTTCTTTTGTGCCACATACTATTGTCATCTGAATGTATGAGTTCATTAAATTTGGAACAACTTTATGAGATTAGTACTATTATTATTCCTATTTTCCATAAGAGGAAATTGAGGCCCTGAAAGATGAACCAATTTTGCCAAGGTTTCACAGTGGCAGAAGTTCTGATTCTAGAGCTTGGGTTCTTAATCAGTATATTATATTGCCTTCCTTATTTATGAGCTCAGCTCTGGAAAGAATAGATTTGAAATGTGGGAAATGTAGGTATCCAAGACCCAATTAAGACCCAACAAGACACTAGACTTATAAATCTAGGATAGAAACTTAATTTTGGGAGTTACCAGCATGCTGATACGGGCAAAGTTGTTCTGAGGAATAAGATCAGAAGTGAGCCAAATACAGAACCAACATTAACATTAAAAGGGGATGGTTAAGGTTAGGAGATGAAAGAAGAACCAGAAGCCAGTGGAGGAGTTTCAAGTAGGGATAAATCAGCATCTGCTGGAGCCCCTCTATTCAAGAGACTAAGGAAGGCAAAGTGCTCACCGGATTTGTCCTTGAGGACATAATTGATGACCTTGGTGGAGGGCAAGAACAGAGGCCAGATGGAATGAAATAAGGAATGAATGAGAAGTTAGGACACAGAGACAACATTCTTTAAGGACATTTGAGTAAGAAACCAGTAAAGAAACAGTATTGTATCTAGAAAGGCATGATCAAGAGATTTGCTATCACTGTTTTTGTTCTGTTTATTTGTTGGTTTATCTTTTATTTTTTGGCAATGGGCAAGGGAGATTAACTTATGTTTATAGTCTACAGCAAAAGAGTCAGGGAAGAGGTAGAGATAAACAGGAGAAACAAACACCTGTAGAAAAATAGAGATAATGGCAAAAAAGGAACCAAAATGCAGAGGTTGGCCTTAAAAACAGGAGATACTTGGCTTTCAGTGACTGGTAGAAGGACATACATGCAACATTTAGGAGCAGGTTTGGAACTTGAGATAACCATTCTGTCTCCTCTTCTTTGGGTTCTTGATGAAGTAGGAGGTAAAGTCCGTGGCTAAGAGTGATGTGTGTGAGATATGGCTTGGGGAATTGAGGAAAGTCATGGAGAATTAGAAACATTATTAGGAAGATGAGAGGTAGTCAGAATAAAGACAAAAGGACTTGAAATGTTAAAGATCCCACTGAAACTAGCAATGATCTATTTGTAATGTCATCGATTACTTTTATTAACTAGATTTCCCCTTGCAGTATCAACTGTATCAGACTATTTATAAAAATAAATAAATAAAAACATCCATTCATTCATTTACTCAAAAACATTGATTGAGCATGTACTATGTGTCTGGCATTGTAACAGGTACGTAGGCTGCAACAGTCAAAAAATATAGACACTGTGACATGGGCTCTGCATGATGGTAATGTCTTGGAGCCATACTCTGAGAGCTCCGTAGCCAAGGTGTTCAGAGTAGACAGACAGAGGAAAGTACTTTGTGTTCCTGATTAAACTGTTTCTGTTTCTTCATCAAGGAGATTGGATTAAGTCTTCCCATAGTACCTCCATCCCCTGTCCCTGTCTTTCTTTGATTCTAAGATACTGGCACTTGCTGAAGGAGCTGGGAAGGGAATGTTGTGTACCCACTCAGGTGCTGGGCTAGTTAGCTTGTCTTGTGTTCTTTTTGTGATTCTTACATAGAAACCAGGGTTCAGCCAATGTAAGTAAAATGCTATGGTTGCACAAGGGAGCTTGGATTTGAACTCATGTTTGCCTGACTTTAAAGCATTTCCCAATGGCTCCCCCAGCTTCAGGGAGACCAGAAGACAAGAATAGCAAGTGGAGACAGAGCAGATTCTGTCAAGTGTCTGGAGGCACATGTGTTTTATGTCATTCCAAAGGACCAATGGATGAGTACAGGAAAGAACATTTTGGCTCAGTGACAAAAAACTGCTGAAACTGAAATTGTGTAGCTATTGGGGCGTTTGTTGAAAAGGCAGCAATTTTTTATCAAAGTTGTTCAACATGAGGTCAATGAATGCCCCCTAGGATAGATTGGGAAGTTGTTCCTTTCAATTCTAAGTGTCAATGATTCCCTTAAGTATGTTTTACCACCACCCATGTTCTTGTTTCTTCCTTTCCCCTATACTTTTCTTCTTCCTTGTCTCCTCTCGGCACCTGTTATCCCCAATCATCTGAGTTTAGATGATTCCTTCTGCAGCTTCTAAGTTTGAGCACTATAGAGATACCACCTCCTAAGGGCTTTTCCCTCCAGTTGGGCAGGTAGGTACATATTGATCAATGAATAAATTTAGGAGGAAGATATCTGTCATTACCCTGGGTTCAGAAGATAACTTGTATTCTGAGATGAAGAATTTCACTCAAAGAACTCTACAGACACTCATATCACATCAACTGAGAGACACTATGGAGGCCATCAAGTATAAAGTGGGAGTGTGTTAATACTTACAATGCTCAGGTCAATTTTACCAAAGACCCTGACAACTTGCTTCAAGCACATCCATGAAAGTTGTATTACCCATTGGAGGCTGCCATCAGAGAGGTGACGTGACCTCCTTTCCTTTATTAGTATGTGTCCTTACTCAATGGAAAGTGATATCTTCAAGACTTCTGTAATATTTACAGTGACTATGTTTAAACCTGCTTGGAAAAGGGGAGTTGGAGATACTCAGAGGATTCTACCTGCTATTGTACCTGATATCAACCATCAGAAATTTTTCAGGACTAAGGAATGTTCCCAGGACATAAGATTTTCAATAAAACTAAGAAAGTTGTGGGCAAAATGAAATGAATTGGTCGTCCTGCACTCTTATACACAAGTCCACTAGAAAGTGCCAGTTGTCTGTCTTTTTTAAAAATTTTATTTTATTGGTACAATTTAGGTATACAATATAATGACATGCATCTTTGGAAATTTGCACCTTTACATAATCTCTCTTGGTTCTTATTTTTCCCCCTTCTCCTGCCCTCTCTTTAACCCCTCCATCCCTCCCTATTTACAAAGACTTTGTTTCCATTTTTTCATTATGGAAAGAAGGGAATGGAATTAATATGAGAAAATAAACACTTGTCTTATAATCAAATCTGGCTCTTCCTGAAAATACTAAGTCAAGGTTGTTTTAATATGTGGCATACATCAAAACAAAGTAAAGAGTACCTGATCCAAGACTTAAGAGACCACCTTTGTAGAAAAGCATCCCCAAAGTGGTTAGGAGTTAGTAGAACAGCAAACATATGCTGGTCTTACTCATGACCGAGAACTACAAAGGAAGCATTGCTTACCTGATGAATTTATGAGCCAGCTGTTCCACAAAGAAATAGATCTCATTCCAGTGATGGAGCACACTTCCAGATCTTAAAAAAAAAAGCAGATGTTGTTTAACTCAGGAGTTCATTTGCCACACCTTGTATTAGTCCCCTTCACATTCTATTATTTTACATTTGACCTATCCGTTAATCAGTTTCATTAACTGAAATCTTTATAAATCCAGAAATTGTTTGAAAAGCTGTTTAGACTTTTCGTTAGAGCTCCTAAAAATCTTGTTAAAGGTCTTTGCTGAAGCCATCTCCCAACTCCAATTCCACATACTTATACACTGAAAATAAAAACCAAAACAAAACAGAAAAACACTGGGCTTAAATGGACTCATAGGTTAATTTCACATCTTTATGAGACAGTTATTTTTGTGATATTTAAATTATTTCTTTGATAATTTCTTTAAATTATTCCAATTCTTTGAAATTAAATTAGCATGAACACACAAAACAAAGATAAACAATCCTCTCAGTACAATTTCATTTGAAATATAGATGTGAAATTCTTAAATAAAATGTTGGCAAAACTAATCCAGCAGGGACCCAAAAGAAGAATAATTAATTAATTGAGTTTATTTTAGGAAGGCACTAATAGTTAAACATTTAAGGAAATAGAATTTAATTAGTGATATTAATAAATAAAAAAGAAAAACCATTTGGCTTTTCATTGTATTAAAAAGGGATTCTCTTCCTGAAAAGAGGGAAACTTTCATTAGAACATATGGAAGTGTTTGAAAGGAGCTTTTTTATTGACTAAAAAAAGTCTGACTGCTGTTTCAAGACACTATCTCCTTACACTTTAATTCAGCTTCAAGTATTTTCCATAGTGCTTGTACTCAGTCTGTTGTGGGCAATCCACATTAGCTTCTGCTACTCAAACCCAATTTCCTGAAGCCTGATGCCTCCCCTCCTTAATTTATGAATCTGTTTCAGTTGAGCCTTGAATTTCTGTCTGCTACTCTAATAATTGTTGAGGTTTGAGTTTGCTTCTTCTAATCTGACATTTTGTACTGTAAAAATTTTCTACTGGTTTCTGACTTTTTTAATGAATTCATTTGCAATTTTAACTTCTAAAGAGTTATTTGTTGCTGTTTTCTTTGTTTCAAACTAATACGCAAACGAGGAATTCATGCAAAGTACTGTTTTCTAGATACAACATGTCTAGGAATTCTCATATTCCTTCTCTGTGAGAATTTATTTTTCTCTATCCCATATCCAGAAGGGATAAATTTTTCCTACTTGAACAAAAGCAACACAATATATTACGGTCATAAAATTAAAGACTCCATATCACAAGGATGTCTCATTTTCTCCAAGTTAATCTATCATTTTAATTCTAGAAAAAAATCTAAAAGAATATTTTGTGAAACTTAAAAACTAATTTTAAAAATAAAATGAAAATAAGAGTCTAAAACTAATCAAAACAATTCTGAAAAAAATATTTTAAAAACAAGACAAGAAAGCTTACCCTCCCAGATATAACACCCTACATAATGGATACATGATGTAACAGTGGAGTGAATGAGTGGGACAAAGAGCCTAGACTTGAACCAATATGAGATTTGGCTACACAGGGAAAGAGATGGTTCAGACTGGGGAGGGAGAATAAACCTTTCAGTACAGGATGTGGTAGCAGTTGGACTCCCAACTGAAGAAAAATATTAGATCACTATTCCGCAAATGTAACTCTTGATATGTTAAAAACCTAATGAGAAAAGCAAAACTTTAAATATGTTGGGTGAATTGTAGAAGATGGTTGTGCCCTCAGTTCAGTGCAGAGTTTCTTACAGCAGGTATGGAGACTAGAATTGTTTCTTAATAAAAGTATTATGTTGACACTGGATATGTCTAAATTTCTGAATAACAAGACACCAGAAACATGTTAAAAACAAGAAAAGAATTATAAAAGATGTTTAAAATTAATAGAAAAAGATTAGTGTGGAGTATATGTTAATAATTGGTACAAGTAAATATTAAAAGGGAGACAACAGAAAATTAGACAAAAGGTCAGAACAAATAATCTCTCAAATTATGGTAAATCAACTTATGAAAAAGTATTCCACTCTTCTGGCAAATATTGAAATGCATATTTAAACACTTGCTAAATAACACTTCATACCATTCAGGTTGTCAAGAATTAAAATGTCTGACAATATGAAATGTTGGTGAGAATATGGGCTAAATAGGAGCAATGCTCAAACATTGCTGGTAGATGTGGAAATTGATGTAACCACTTTGGAGAGCAATTGGGAAATGCCTAAAGAGCTTGAAGACAGGCATTTCCTAAGACTATAACCTGTTTCTTGGTTACAATCTCCCATGGAAGCAAGGGAATGTGCATAAGGATCTTGTGTAAGGAGGATCACTGTTGCAGTTTGTTAGAGAAAAGTAACTTTAATGTCTATTAGTAAGTAAATTCTATGAATACATTCACACACATATTACTTATTTCCATAAAACACTAAAACAAGTGGGAAAATCTATTACTATTTGCTCATCTATGTGGAGAAGTTATAAATAGTTATCCTCTATTTTCTGAAGAATAGATTGTTTTAGAATTTTACAACGGATACTGCACAAAAGTTAAAAGACAAGGATCCAGTCCTTGATCCTTCCATATACAGGAGATAATCATATGTAATTATGTGCTGATCTTGAACTCTACTTTGGCTAATCTGAGATAGTATTTGGCATAACCAGCAGCAGAGAATAAATTACCCTGGAGATTTCTTACTTCTTTTTTTTTTTTTTTACATGTTCACTATAGATTTAATTTTTTCCCCTGAATATTTGCAATTGCCAACTGGATGAATCTGTACACCATGGATATAAACTGGTTACTGTAATTACTTTATTCAAAAAAGCAAAAATTAGATAATTATAAACTACTAAGCCATTATGAAAAGATACTTCAATCATTTTTGCTTTGAGAATAACTTTTTACAATGAATACAGAATCTGGGTCATCTTATTTTGAAATTTGACTGCTACTAACTGGTTAGGGGAAAGGGTTGGGGAATTGGGACAGAACAGAGGTAAGATATGATATAGTGCGTTATCTGTGTCTTCAGCAGGAAGAAGAAAAAGTTCTGAGAACTTGATCTTTTTATACACTTTCCCTTAATCTCAGTACCACTTCACAAAATTCATTTTCTGTTATGGCAGTTTGAAATATACAAGATAAGCAATGAAGAAAATCCCCTGGATAGTAAACATTTCTCCAACAAAACTTAATAAAATATGGTATGTTATAAAATATTAGTAAGTATGCATTTATAATTTATTTAAAAATAACATAGTGGCTAACAATATAAAAAAATTCACAGGTTATATTGTATATTAGTAAGTATGCATTTATAATTTATTTTAAAATAACATAGTGGCTAACTCAATATAAAAAAATCCATAGCTTATAATTGTATATTTGTTCC